GGGAGAAGAGAAAAAAGGGTACGAAAAGTGGGTGGATGGGTGATGGAGAGACAACTGTCCACAGGGAGCGAAGGAACCAATGGTTCCTTCAAGAGTTCCACTCCCCCCAAGGTCTTCCAACCCTAGCTGAAGTAATCTCCCACTGATCTAGTGTTCACAAAGGTGCTCCTCCAGGTGAGGAGGGTTACACTTGACCAATGAAATCAATCATAGTGCCTAGGAATGCTCACCTTGCTCTCAAGACAACCAGGAGGGTCAGCAGCCTCCTCCCTGGGAAGGGCGGAGTATCCCATCACTAAGGAATGCCCTACTCCCACTCTACTTAGCCCTTCAGAATGACTAAACTGTGGAAAGAGAAGTCACTCAATAGCTAAAAGAAGACAAGTTATGAAACAACTCCTGCTAACAACAGAAATCCTAGTTTAGCACCTAGTGTGCTAACTGGTAGCTTTCTTGAGGTGCCAGCCTTACCCCATTGGTAAGCATGCCTGCCCAGGGGGACAGTGCCGTGTCTAACAGTATGCTTTCTACTCAGAAATGGCCCTGGGGATGACACCGAATAAAGCCCACCCATCAGGTTGTGCTATAAAGTGGAAACAATACTGTCTAGTAGGCTGAAGTTCACTGCCATGAACTTACAGTATAAAAATACCTACAAACAATTCCTTTTCTCTGGAGATTAACCAGGAACTGGAACCACCTTTACCTTCCATTTACCTTCTGGGTACAGAAGACCTGACAGCCCACAGGCAAGGGGACATCAATACTTCGGAAGATTCAGACAGGCTGGCAAGCTTTATCAGCTGCAGTTTCTGAATTCGACTTCCTGTTTTCCTTGTTCTGGTGTCTCTTACCCTGTACAATGTGCTGGCCCCACTTACAACTTCCAGATACTTTCTCTTTATCCCCCTGGATTCTATCTGTTCTCTCCAACATGTAAGCAGCAGAGAATGACGGTACATATTACAAGGGAATATTTATGCTCAGTGTTCTAAGCCATGAAAGGCAAGGGTAAACAATTCCTTAGGTGGAGATGGGAGAGCTTTTTAGGAACAGGGACTTGATTTCAATCTTTAGAAAACTTTGATTCACTTGCTGCACTGACAACACGTCAGGAAACCTCAACAGCGCTAGGTACACAAATCTGTATGCAGACCCTATCTTTTAACATCGAGGAAACCAGGTGACGATATGAGAATGGGGAGCCTGGTGTAAGGCTTATTCTCAGGATCTACATTTTCTTTCCAGCTTCTCTTAAAGACTGTTGAGCTCAAACCCACTTACCTCTCCTGTCATGAGGAGTCAGGGCACATAAGCTCAACTCTTGATGGGTTGGGACCACTATTTATTTGTGTTTTCTACTTTTAAAAAAGTCACAATTTATGGGCTCCTCTCATTAAAAAACAAAAAATCTCTAGTTTCTAGTCTAGTGTTTTTAGGCACTTTTCCTAAATCCTAAGCTTCTGTTTTTTGTTAGTTTATGAAGTCTACAGCAATTCTAATACGTGACCCCTTAAAGTGAAGGAAAAATGCCCTTCATACATGAAATATGCTGAGGGTATAGAAATTAGAAGTAAATGCAATGGAGCAAAAGTAGTATAGTAACAGGAAATATTTAATTTTCCAATCTCCACTTTCCATTTTTATAAACTCAAAGAAAAAATTTAATATATTACAAAATATCTGTACAGAGACAAGGTATACCTGGCAAGGGGCAAAAATGAGAGAGAAAGGAATACAGTGTCAGGAACCTAGGAATCAGGAAAATGAGGTGGCCGCTGACACTTTTCTGATGCAGCACTCTCTGCAAACCTGCTAGAGACTTCAGCACGGGAACTATATGTGTGTTATGCGCGCACGCGTACACACATAACTGAGTGATGACTATGGCATATGCTAATAGAAGCCCTACTTACAAATCTGTGCTACCTGCCCTGCCTTAAACATAGATCTAACGTCCTTTTCAAGTCCTCATCATTACTATGGACAGCTGAAGAAAAACTAAGGAAACCGGGTCAAGCAAATTTGTTTTCAAAACCACAAAAATGATCATAGTCAAACCAGTTTTGCCTCTCATTTGTGAACAGAATCAGATTTCGCATCTGTTCAAAATAATGTATTTCCTAGGCTCAGTACCTCTCATGGTACAACAGTCAAAAATCAAAACAGTTTTTGAATGGAATAACTGGAATTGTGATTTTTGAAGTCAAGCTGCTATTCAGCCAAATCTTTTACTCTGATCATATTTATAACATAGCTGAAAAATTATCAAATACCTTTTTTTATCTCCACACACATTCCAGGGTATTAAATGACTTTTTCCTCTGCTTTTTAGAAAGAGCCAAAATTACAAAACATACTTTTTTAATGTCAAAGGTTAGACTCCCCAAATGAGGGCAGGGATGAGATGGGATCATACAAACACACACTCACACATTTACCCACCCCCTTCCCTAGCAGGGACAGGGAAATGGAAGCTTAAGTATATCATTTAGAATATTTGGCATAATTGAACATAAGGGAAAAGAGGGAAAGTTATTGATGACTGCTGATAACCAAAATGCAATGAAAATATACAGAGATTTTATTCATATTTGATGGGAAAACAATTCTTTTTCACTGAACAGATACTTTAGTAAGTATCCAAAGCTCAGCTTCTTTAATGAAAAACAGGGGAGTGGGGCCCAATACCTCAAGTCTGAGTACTATAAAATACAAAGGCCCGTATCTGAAGACTAAGTCGACAGACAGAAGACTTGAATGAGCTCTAATGGAATTTACTGACAGCATGTCAATGTGCCTAGGAAGTCTAACTTGACACGCTGGTATAAAAAGCCATTAAAGCCAAAATGGCTAGAAAGTTCTCTTTCTCTTACTAATCAATGTCTGGCCTCAAGGGCAAGGCCAGAGCAAAAACCAAATAATAATAAAGAAATATACACACCAGTCTCTACCTACTCCAGTAATGGGAAAATAGTCTTCATGTAAGTTTCTGAAGAGGGTTTTCTCATTTTTTGAAGATTTTTTTTCAATTAATGCACCTAAGTAATTTTATTTTCAGTGTAAGAACTTGGCATTGTGACATGAAACTTGAGTTCTGCAAACTATTCTCCACGATGCTACAGCATGTTTGCCTTTTTTTGGTAAAAAGACATTAACCTATGTGCTAAGTTCTATGACATGTATGTTCTGAAAACACCATATGCTGGTACTCACAGGAATGGAAGTCAGAGTGAGAAGCACCCCAAGTTATCCCATCTTGAGAGGCTCTCTTTTCCATTTCCTATTTATGATAAGGCAAAGTTTTTGCCACAAAATCTTAACTTTTTTACCAAAACCCAATCACTGGAGGGAATCCCTAAAACAAATGGCAGGACATACATGCTACAATGTGTACATGTCAATACTGTTCTTCCTCATAGTATGCTGTTTTAAAGTTACTTTTGCTATCAGGTATTGATACAGCTTCAGAAAAATACCCACTCTAAACTAGATTACATTTCCATGTATTTTCAGGATGTTTCTTTTCTCTTTGACAATATTGCAATGCTCTTGGAGACGGTTTTTTTTTTTTGGACATAAAAATATATGTGTAAACAATATGCTAACTCCCATTGGCCCTCTATAGGCACATGGAGGCATTCTCTCTACCCACAGTTCAGCAGCAATGTCCTATGCTGTCCACATTTACAAATCAACTTCCCCACCATAACATGGTTTTTAAAAAAAAACATTTCAGAATTGAAGATTTACAGAGAACAATGTAGGATTTTTAATTTCCTTTCTTTTATTTAAAAAAAAATTATTCCAGGTTCTTGGGCATCTCAACCATTTTTTTTCCAAACAAATGCCTCAAAAAAAAAAAAAAAAAAAAGAAAAGAAAAAAAAAGAAGAAAGAAAAGAAAAAAGAAAGGAGAGAAGAAAGGGAAAACAGAAGAGAAGAATGGAGAATGGAGAGAGGAAAGGGAAGCACAGGAAAAAATAAGGAGAAATAGACATTGGGTAGGGTTTACCTGCCACTTTCCATAACCTGCTTTATTGTGCAGGGAGGCACAGCTTTTGTGAAAATGGAACAAACTTAAGAACGAGTAATTTATTTGGAAAAAAGTTATATTCAAGATGCTCAATAGGGACAGAGGAGTGTTCACTTATAAACAAAAATGTGAGATGGTGGAGAAGGAGGAGACATTTATTTAAATCAGTCAGGCCACTCTGCTTCCCTTCTAGCAAGAGCCTAAGAGCAGCTCAAATATTGTGAACACTTTTCTGTTTAAAGAAAGGGGAAATCTATATAAAATTCAAAAGAAAGAAAGAAAAATAAAAAAATCCACAAAACTTTTAAAAACTGAAGAGCCTGAGCCATCTCAAAACGGAAACTTTTCTCTCTTCTGCTCAAGAAGTGCAGGCAATATGCTAACACAACCTTTACTTTTCGGATGAATGACCCCTCTCTATATTCTCTCCTGTCTCCTAGCTAGAGCTGAAGGAAATGTTCTGGCTATAGCCCATCTAGGGGAACTGGTGCCAACATCGTTATTTGTAAGTCGCCTGCTAGTAGCAAGTGAGCAAGGAATACAACATACAGCTTTGCAGTAGCCAAATGCAGATGATTACCTCACTCTGGCAAGTGATTTCATTAAAGGTTCAGAGGACTGGATGGAAAGATGGACAGGGAAGGAACTTTCAGGACAATGGATTCTCTGGGTTAGTAAGGAACTCCTCTCCCTCGTCCCCCTCGTGGCGGAACTCTTGCAGATCCCCGATAGAGTTTTCCGTAAGCAGAAGACTGAGCTGGGGCCCCCCAGTGAAGACTTGCTCCTGAGCTGGTGGTCCCAGAAGTTCCTGGCCCCAGCTCCCCATAGTTTTGCAATTTGGCCTCTGTGTGCACCACAGAGTTGCTGCTGCCCTCTGCCTTCAGAAATGGTTGCCCGACCACTGAGTGTAATGCTACGGGAACCCTGGCAAAACGGAGATCCTGGTCCCCAGGGAACTGCACTGACCCTGTGCCCTGGTAACTGCTGGACTCCCCAAGGTGGCTCACAGAGCCTGAGAAGGTCCTGTTCTTCACCAGGGTCTGGACCAAGGATTCTGTCAAGGCTGGACCAGAGCTGCGTTCATCAGTGTCAGTGCCACTGAACCCTGTTTCAGGCCCATCAGTGTTGCCGTAAGTCCTGTTGGGATGGGGTCGGGTGGAGTACTCCATTGGTCTCAAGGCCTGGTGCTCATGTGGCAGGTGGCCAGGAGGCTCTGCTTCAGGCTGGGATAAAAGTTGTAGCAAGGCGGCTGTCACGGCGGGGTTCAACTCCTGGGGGGCGCTGGAAAGATCGCCTTCAACCAGAGGGGGTGGAGGTGGCGGCGGTGGAGGTCCGGGGGGTTCAGGGGGCCTCTTCTCTGGTGGAAGAATGTGAGGAGGACATGCTGTGGAAGGGTTACTTCTTTTAAACACCATCTTAAAAATCATATGTGATTATTAGCACAAATACACTCACACATACACACACACTGCCCAACATAAACAAGTAGCAATATAAATTACTAGATATATAAAGAATAAAATCTTGGGATCAGAAAATTGTAATTTATAAATAAAATCAAGTTGTTATAAAACAGCTGCACTCTGGATCTAATGGCTGGTGTAACAGGATGATATGTTTCAAACCATGGTTCTGATTTTTGTCTGAAATTTCTTCCACTTTCTCCTTAAAGAACTGTTTAATGTATAGTGTTGGCAACCTCACCACTCCTTTGTTGCTGTTAGCTCAAAACATTATTGAGGATAGGTCAGCAGAAGGAAGACAAGAGGGAACAATATATATATATATATATATATATATATATATATATATATATATATATATGCGCTGTGGTCACATTTCTAGGACATCATATCTTGCTGTACAACAGAGACTTTGACTTTGCATAGACTTGGCTAACACATTTACAGAATATTTGATTGATAAAAGGTTAACCTGAAATAAAATTTAAAAGAATATACAGGAGAGATGAAATAAAGTAAAAACTCATTACCATCATTACCATCATATATAATTGCTTCTCCAAACTTCAGTCTTTTCCCCCTCTAATCATATTCTCAAGAAAGGGCCATTAACCACCACACCATCATTCAACTTCCTATGTTAACAGTAATTATAAAGACTAAGTTAATCTACCATAATTTTCTATTTGATTTTCCTACCTTTTGGATTTTTTCATTCTGTGAAAAAAATAATTGCTACAGTAGTGTTATTCAGAATTGGATGCTGATTAACATGCGTTTATCCTTGAGACATGGTTGGGAACTTAGGATGCTAACATCTCTGTCATTTTTGAACCATTTCCCCAGACTTTGGATTTTCTACTGCTGTCTACATTTGCCTAGCCATGGCAATCACTTGCGTGATAACAAACTCCTCTGAAGGTAGGAGAGAAGAAATGTAAAATGGCATGAAGCTGAGGACATACAAAACCACTGAGGCAGAAATATGGTCAGAACAACAGTGCCTTTGGAGAACTGGGAGTCATCCTGCACAAGAAAAGGCTTGGACTTTCTTCTAAATAACTTGTTTTTCTTTCTTTTCCCTGGAAGCATGTTTTAAAATACCCATGTACTCATTCTACCATTTTTGAACTAGCAGTGACATAAGCCATTACTTGACAAGCTGAAAGCAATTTTTTGTCAAACTTTCATAATTTGTGTATTTTCACCTTGATTTCATTTTACAAAAACACTAGGTTTAGAGCCGGGCGTGGTGGCTCACATCTGTAATCCCAGCACTCGGGAGGCTGAGGTGGGAGGATCATTGTGAGTTCAAGACCAGCCTGGGCTACAAAGTGAGCTCAAGGCCAGCCTGAACTGTGTATTGAGACCCTGTCTCAAAAATGACACACACACACACACACACACACACACACACACACACACACAAAAAAAAAAAAAAAAAAAAAAACAAACAAACACTAGGTTTGTATTTCCTAGGTATGCAGTGCCTAGGGAATAAAATATCCCTAAGGTTGTGCAGTGTAAGGATGAAGTTAGATGCCCTATGTAACTGTAAGGACTGACAAGTTTCCAAGGTTGTCAACTATTGGTTTTAAAACCAAAATAGTCTAAGGACAAGTTGTTCATCTAATATGTAGTATATTCAGCAACTTATTTGTTGACTGATAGCTTCAGAGGTGAGCAGCAGGAGAAAATAACTTTAAGGACAGAAAATAAGCTATGGAAAACTAACAATCTGAAGAGTAGATTTCCTGACATGCTAAATGGAGTATAGGCACCTATGATTGAGCCTTTTGCTGTCAACACTATGTATCTTTCTATATAATACATAAAGGCATTCAAGTACCAGTCATTTAAAAGTATGTGGGGATTATATGTGATAGAACACCAGGTGTCTTTAACACTTAGGGCAAACAACTTTAAAAAATTCCTAACTGCAAAAGTGGGCAAATTTAAACTTACATTCTTCCAACTACAGCACTTTTCATATTTAAACTTTATCTTTTATGTAAATAGCCTAATTGTGTGTTTCAACAGAATTCTTAAGGCTCAAATTCACATATATAAAATGAAAATTCTATTTCAAAATAGCAACACAGATGGATTGTAAAGAACTAAAGTTAAAACTTCTTAAAGGAATTAAAAAATATGAATTACAAATCATATTGTTCTAAGATTTAAATTGTTAATGTTGTCGATCTTTAATGGTTTTGTTCTAATGTAGGAAGGTATTAAGTAAATTTAAAAATAACTTAAAAACGTCTTTGGGTTCCTTAGTTTAGTGGTTTAACCACTGCCCTTTCCCAAAGAGCACAGAATAACTGAACAAGAATCAAACTGGAAGGCTGTCCCCAGGCTTGTACAGTCTGCCCTCTGCTGGAAGTGCTAATGAACAGTGCAAAGCCACGTAAGAGACCAAGAAAACAGGAGAGCGGAGGGGAGACCACAATGATCAGCTACGGCATTTTACACTCTCCTCAAAAAGAAACCCATAGTCTCTGGCTAAAGGCCAGGCCTTAGTTTTAGTTCAGTTTCATCCGTGGCTGAGAGTCTGTAGGTGCAATTACTGGGTGAATGTCTTCGCATCACTGTGCTATTTAGTTGGAACAACTTCTTCAGGCATTTCCCATAGAGCTGAATCTTTTTAGTGGGTGGAGGAAGAATCCTAGTAATGAGATGAAGAGGCTGCTTTACCTGTACATAGCCTTTTCTGTCCAGTTAGGTCCCATAGTCTCTTAGAAACAATTGTTCATCATGACAGAATGGCAAGCCCAATCAAGAAGCACACGAGCTCTAGGTTTTTACCAAAGGACTCTAGCCAAACTTATTTAAACTCCCTGGACTGCAGTTTTCCTATTTATAAAGTAAGGGATTTTATTGCTAATTTTAAGTATCTTCATATATGAAAAATAGCTTATGTGACTGACCTTAGACCACTGAAAATAAAGCCTATATTTACTACAATGTTGCACATGGAACGTGAATGCAGGTCCCTAACATGGAAGGAAAGGGTTAGTGAACCTCTTCAGCCCTTGTGCCTCTTCTTATTCCCCAATTCATGGGGTCTTCATGGACAGTGAAAATTTCCAAGGAGTTGAAAACATTCAGGTTAAAACAGACTGTGAGTCAGAATTCATTGGAGAATTTAAGCTGCTTTTTTTCTCTAATAAATTGCAAGCTGTGGTCATGAGATCAAGGTATCATACCTTTTTTTCAGGGTTTTTTTTCCCCCCTTTTTATAATGTTGGGGTCCATTCCATTGTTTCTTTCAGGGAATACATAGGAATCATTTTTATATGTTATTATTTTTAGAAAGGAAATACATGATGTTAATTATCTACTTAAGGCTATTCCCAAATTATTCTTCAAGAAACTAAAACAATTACTTTATTATGATTTTCTTGACTGGATCTTCCAGGTAACTCTCGTATGCAGCATCCACTCCACTAGAGGTAAAGAAATACAATGTGATAACAGTTTGTTCTAGGACCAGCTGAGCACCACACACACAGTGGTCCAAGATACATTACAAGGCATGGCTGTCGTTTCCTTGGTTAGAATAAAAGGGTTTTACTTACCTACATCCTACGAAATGGAAAACAATCAGTATATGAAAGGTGCTTTCAGAAGCTTTGAAACTTAAAGAAGTTGGATAAGAAATACATCACGTTGGTGCTATGTTCTCCTGCAGACTAGGTTTGAGAAAAACTGAAACTGAGGTCATTGATGTGAAAAGTAAAATGTTAAGAGATTTTTAAGAGGATAAACAGCACCTGAGCTCAGTGAGATTCATGACCGGTCTGTTTACCTGCTGCCTCCTCCTGTGGCATTGTGGGAGTTCTTCGGGGCCCCTGTGGCCCACTATTCTTGTCACTGTTGTTTTCCTCTAGGTTGCCTGCTGGCTCCTGGGTTTTCATCAGCTGACTCAAGAAAACTGCCAACATATTCTGCATGTCAGCTGGTGTGCTGGAAGCTTCAGGGGTTGTCTGCTCTGCTGAAGGCTGGGCTGCTGGGGCAGGGGGTACTTCCTTCAAAGACTCCTCTGGGGCTATGGGCTCTGAATTCTGCTGCTGGGAAGTGGCTTCTGTCAGGGCACTGATGGATTGGTTGAGGGCTTCCAGCTGCTGCTGCATCTCCGGGTTAGAGTGGATGTTAAGCAGCTGTGCCATTTGAGGGATGCTCAGGTCAGTCTGACTATGCAGCAGGTTCAATAACACTGCTAATTCACTTTGATTCAGCTGCTGTGTGATGTCACCAAGGCCTGTAGGGAGACAGTGGAGCCAACATAAGCGGACGAGGCAGGGAAAGGGCTCTTTGACTTCAACTAGCAACAGCAACTTATTATAGTCAAAGAATGAAGTTTTATTTTGAATATCTCATGTCTCAAACTGTCATTACGCAGACTGTTAATCTTTGCATTTTTGGTTAAAAATACAGACACTACATGGACATAGTGGTGCATGCCTGTCATCCCAGCACCAGAGAGGCTGAGGCAGGAGGATCACTGTGAAAGTATGTGGCCAGCCTGGGCTACCTAGTGAGATCAAGACCAGCCTGAAGTACAGAGTGAGACCCTGTCTCAAAACAAAAAAAAACAAAACCACAAAACAATCTGCCCACCCCCACCCTGCAAAAAGAAACTAACTGAAACATCTGTGTGTGTGAAAGTGATTTCATTTTATCTGTTATCAGGGCTGAGGATACAGCTCAGCAGCACAAAGCATTTGCCTTTCAAGTGAGGTTGTGAGTTTGATCCCCGGTATCAAAACAAAATCAAAACAAACAAAAAACCACCAAACAAACTAGTGTCAGTTTAGTATTAAAGCATTTTACCTGTTATCTTCATGGTCACTGATTATAACCCTCAGTGTATAGAATTACTAAGATTTTAAGTTTAAAGCTAGGCATGGTGGTATATGCCTGTAATAATAGCACTTGAGAGGATGAAGAAAGAAGACTTCAAGTTTGAGGCCAGCCTGGGCTACAATGAGACCTTATCTCAGTAAAACAAAATAAATCAATGCATTGTGACTTATCCCTAGAAATCTGGCACTTTGAGGATACTTTTTTTTTTTTTTTTTTAAATATCCTAGATGATTCTGATATGCAGCCATTGAGAACTACTACTATGTGTGGACAGGGAAGATAAAGTAAATCAGAAAAATCTCTGCAATTCAGAAAAATGCATGGTTCCAAAGAAGTATTTCATGATAATAATTTGTTACACACAATCTTAAGATATATTTAGATTAAATAACAGCTACAGGACTAACTACTGATAGTGGTGGCAAACCTATAGCAAGTGTGCCACACCGGGCAAGCAGAGTCCCCTCTAGCAACACATGAGCCAAGCTGCCCCGGCAGCTAAACATCTGGTAACAGTTCTTTTTACTTCTCTTTTCCTTTTTTTTTTTTCCTTTTTGAGACAGGATCTCACTATACAGGTGAGGCTGGTTTTGAGCTCACTTTGTAGCCCAGGCTGGTTTCAAACTCACAATGATCCTTTCTGCCTCAGCCTTCCAAGTGCTGGGATTATAGGTGCATGCCACCATGCCCAGCCAACAGTTCTTTTTTCTTAATTCAAACTTCAGTATTCAGGTTTAACTGCAGAGCTGGCACTCTGCAATAAAGTAGTGGGTTTTGGGTTGTGGTTTGGACATTTGGTCTCTAAAAGATTCACTATCACTGACCAATAGCAATTGTAATTTAACACTAGATTCTAAAATCTTATCAAACCTACCACAACGTGGCTCTAAATTAACTGTATTTGAAAGACACAGGTGAACTAACCTTAAACTGTGCTTACCTAATTCACTGTGTTATGCAGTATTCCTTATTTCCAGGAAGGAACATGCTCTACCATGGTTTTTGTGAACCACATGCACCCAACGTGGTTATGTTCTGCCCATAAATGAGGGACACCAATCTTTTTCCTCAGGCCTCACTGGACAAAAACTAAAAGATACACGTGCAGACACACACATGCGTGCACACTCCTTGCACATGACCTTCAAAATCTGCCCAAATGTGCTAAGTTAAGACAACAGAAGTGCAGAAGCCCCACATTGCAGCACTGACCTACTGAATCCCCAGCCCCAGGCTGCTCCACTTTGCCAGTAGCAGGCTGAGGGGGTGCTGGGCTACTGCTCTTCAGAGGCTCAGCACTTGTCCCTGAGGTAGTTTCTTTCCGAGAAACTTTGGACGGAGGTGGCTCTTCCACCACAACACCACTTTGTCGCTGCCGTCGCCGTTTCTTACTCCACAATTCATGGCAATCCTGCCAGTGAGGGAGGCTAGAAAAGACAAAGCAACAGAAATGCAGTAGTGAGTGAATGGAGGGGTAAGGGGTTAAAATAAGAAAGCAAACAACATGGGGAAGTAGAAATAATAAGGAAAACATAACTGTTACTAAACAGCACAAGGATAAAAAGAATTATGACAGAAGGTAATTTCAAGGAATAACTGCAAATCCAGAGTATTTATATAGTAATAAATGAGAATCTTGCTATGTAAATGCCCATCTTCCAGTCAAATACTATTTTTCTTGACATAACGAGAAAAACAAAGACAAACAACTTAGCTAGGTATGATGGTGCACACCTGTAATCCCAGCACTAAAGGAGGCTGAAGTTCTAGGCTTACCCAAACAATTTAACAGTGAGATCTTGCCTCAAAATAAAAAGGTCTGGGGATGTAGGGAGAGCACCCCTGGGGTTCAATCCCCCTGCCAAGAGTCAAACAGATGGTCAAATTTCAGCTGGGAATAACTAAAAAGACAAACTGGCTCATTATAGCTATAAAAAATCCAGGAAAGGTGATGATTTAAATTTTGGAACCATGTGAATATATCATAATTAAATTACCTCTGTATAAAATCTATTATTTGCTCTGTGAGGACCAAAGACTGGTTCCCTCCTCATTCTGCCCACCAAATTTCCATGACTCACATTATTAACTTTTTCATCTATGGAGCTTAGCACTATGTACTGTTTGGTATATTTACAGACTTTATCATACTCATTAAGTAATATAATCAGTACAACTTGGTCAAATCTTGTGACAAAATCTCTGTAACAGGAGTTCACAAATTTTAGTAAAAAGCTATATATTTAAACCACATTTAGTATATGAAGATTTTGGTGAGATAAATTCATTTAGGCATTTCTTTGGCATAATCAGCTTTAAGAACCATCTACACGTGTGCACCCTATCCATGTCTTTAAGGCATGCTGTCTGTCCTAAGGAAATAAAACGAAGGGAAAAAAAAAAAAAAGACACAGAAGCTGTAATACTGTCAGCGATAAATTCAAAGATAAACTAGACTTTCTTGGTGCCAGAACGTGAGGGCACTTTGGCAGATCCTACATAATACAAGAACTATCTAAGATTACAGTATAAATTTGATACAAAGACCTTACATTTTATATCAAAATTTGATGAGCTGACAGTGATACAAACTACTTAGAATTAGGACTGAGAAAATAATGGTTACCACAGATCTAAGTGACTTAGATGGAATGGGTAGGAGCAAAAGCAAGAAACACTTTCAAAGAGGTTGTACAGGGCAATATGCAGGGTTATCAGAGACAAAAAAAGACTGCTTAGTCAAATTAAAATGAAAATTATAAGGGCTGGGGTTTTAGCTCAGCGGCATAAGCTCCTGCCTTGCAAGCAGGCAGTCGTGAGTTCGATCCCCGGTACCGATAAAAAGGAAAAAAGACAAAAATAAATAAATAAATAATGAAAATTATAACTACATAGACTACTACTTAAAACAATAAAACAAACTTTCCTGTTAACCATAATATTCAAGGACATGCCTCCATCTGAGATTTAGCTATGTGTGTTATTTTAAGGGTCTCTACACAGCCACCAGCACTTACTCGGGCGGAGCCATTTTGCTGAGCTCAACGTCTTTAAGGAAGTCACTCTGTAGGGTCTGTTCCGCTGTGCAGCGCTTGCTAGGATCCAGAGTCAGCATGTGATCCAATAAATCAAGTGCTGCTGAAGGAATGCTGTGAAAAGAAAAAGAAATGCTAAATTCGTAAAGACCCTACAGTGTACTGGGGACTAAACCTAGGACCTATGTACTGAGCTACTCTCCCCATCCTTTCTTAAATCTTTTATCTTGAGAAAGGGTTATGCAAATTGCTAATTTATCCACACTGGCCTTGAACTTCTCAGGATGAAGGGATTACAGGCTCCTGCCATTGCATTCTCTGGCTCTACAGTTCTTAAACTTGTAACCTTGTATCACATGGGCTATGAATTTCCAGCTCTATGTAATTTTCTGAGTAAAGAGAGCTCGAAGTTGCCTAATGTGAGTGAGCAAATATGCTCCCATATAGGATTTAAGAAATGCTGCAGCCAGGTGTGGTCGCATACACCTATAATCCCAGAACTCAGACTGAGGCAAGAGGGTCGCTGTGAGTTTGAGGCCAGCCTGGGCTCCATAGTGAGTTCAAAGCCAGCCTGAACTATACAGGGAGATCCTATCTCAAAAAACAGACAGATAGGCAGGCAGGCAGGCAAAAAAGCAAAGCATTAAAAAAAAAAAAAAAAAAAAAAAAAAAAGCAAGCAAGCAAAGTAAAGCAAAGCTGCTGCAATAACATGTTAAAAACATGGACCCACTAGTTCCATTCTCTTTGCCTTGGGAAGACCAAAAGAACTTGTAAAGAAATCTACATAATAAAAAATCTATGTATTATTAAGAATAAAATGGTTTTCCATTGTCTATAAAGTCCTTAGATGAAAAAACGGCTTTGGTAAAACTCATATATTGTTCAAAAACAATATTAAAATAAATTGAGACAGTATTATCTTTCTAGGCCTCAAAAAAGCTAGACCAAATGAGGTATACAATGTTACCAAACTCACAAAGAGAATTCCTCTCGTAGACGGCGTCTGTATTGCTTCTTTGGCTTCATGGTGTTGAAGTAGGGCAGCTTGATAACATCAGGCCACACAGCTGGACAAGGGCTACCACAGAGACGGCTGAAAACAAAACAAAAGGCAAGACCAAGAAAGTGAGCAAGTCAGCATCCTAATTCTGGAGGTTCCAGAAGCAGAAATTATTACCTCTTGAGGACTGGGGAATCTTTACTTATTAGAGAATATGCAGTATGACCTTACTGCTTTAACAATAGAAAGAACAGGATAGAAAGACAGAAAAAATGCTGCTGTTACAATCCAAAATGATCTACACATTATGTTTTATAAATCACATTTTTAATCTCCCACACAGGTTTTGATTATCAAGTTTGTTCTGCTTTTATTAATTTCATATACTAGAAATTATAGGAGTGGGTTTCACAGTTCTACAGAAAAAAAGTGAGTCTAAGACTAAAAGTTTTGATAATTTCTGTAATTTGTCACTTTGTGACACTTTGTCACTTTGTAATAAGTTATAGTACATTACCATTTTAAATATGTCTACATTTGCTTGTTACATTCTTTCGTTCAATTTTATTGCAAGGGAAAAAAAAAGGACCCAAATTCCATCCTAACCCCAGGACTTCCCCTTATCTTTTATTATAGGCTCAACTTAAACACGCATGTTTATTCAACTTCTTACTTTTCTCTAACTCACAAAGTTTGACAGAAAAATAATCCGTTGTATAACAGACTCAATAATTGTTTGTTGAGTAAGTTTAAAATTTAGGGGCTGGGGATTTAGCTCAGTGGCATAAGCGACTGCCTTGCAAGCGCGTGCGTGGTCGTGAGTTTGACCCCTGGTACCGATTAAAAAAAATAATAAATTTAATCTTGGTTATTTTTATGTTTTGGTGTTGTCAACTGAACTTAAGGCCTTGTGCCAGGTAAGGAAGCACTCTATCTACTGAACTATATCCTTAGCCCCATAAATGTAATCACAATCTAATTTAAGAAGTCAGCCATCCTGAAAACAGAATACGTTATTATTATTTTTGAGACTGTCCCGCTATGTTTCTCAGGCTGGCTCAAGTGATTCTCTCACCTGAGCCCCCTGAGTACTTGGGATTGTAAGCAGATACCACTGCACTCAACAAAAGCATGCTGTTATTTAAGAACTAATAAAACTATGCAAGATAGGAGTTAAAAAATTATGTGGAAGGGCTGGGGATTTAGCTCAGCGGCATAAGCACCTGCCTTTTATCGGTACCAGGGATCGTGAGTTCGATCCCTGGTACCGATAAAAATGAAAAACAAAACAAAACAAAAAAATTATGTGGAGGAGTTGGGGGTACTGCTCAGTGGTAGAGTATGTGCTCAGCCTGCACAGGCACTGAGTTCAATCCCTAGTAGCTAAATAATATATAAATACACATATATGTAAATGTCAATATGTAAAATATTATGTAAATATATACGTGTATACACACACACACACTCTTTGTGTAATGTGGGATACAGCTTCTTTACATACATGGCCCATGACAAAATGAAGGTAAGTCTGACTGGGCAAAAAGAGACTTATTGTAGAATCATTTAGTAGAAATTTAGTACAATGGTACCTTAGTTCACTAACTTAATTCTTTCCATTATTCTGGAAAAAATGGCCATGCTCATGTTCATCACCCAATGCAGAGTTTACAAATAAGACCAAATTTTGCCCAGAACTTCTGTTTGTGAATTGAACTGTTCACAAACAAAAGCATTCATGAGCCAGACATGGTGGCACAGGCCTATAATCCCAACACTTAGGAGGATCAGATTGCTGAGAGTTCAAATCCAGCCTGGGCTACAAAGTGAGCTTAAGGCCAGCATAAGCTGCAGAGTGAGACCCTGCCTCAAAAACATAAAAAGCAGGGCCTGGGGATTTAGCTCAGCGGCATAAGCGCCTGCCTTGCAAGTGTGTGGTCATGAGTTCGATCCCTGATACCGATAAAAAAAGAAAAAGACAAAAAAAAAAAAACGTAAAAACATAAAAAGCAACCAATGCACCGTGTATATTTTAGACTAAAATGTTGTAGAAATTAGACAATTGTGTTTGATGCCCAGTATAAAAAAAAAAGAAGGAAAAAGAGAAAGAGAGATCAGAGAATCAGATTATCTATCACACCTGGACATTCAAGACATGTGAGCTGTACCTGATCAGTTCCAGCTGAGCCAGTTCCAGATTAGCTTGAAAAATAGGCTTCTTAGTGAACAGTTCCCCAAGGATGCACCTAAAAAGAGTAAAAATTGAGCGGTCAAGAAAGACATCCCTGGAGCCTGTTTCAAGTATGTCCTAATGACAACATCTAATATACTATGTTGTAAACTAGACTAGAACTTTAGCGTCTGACTTTCCTAAGAGAAAACATTTCTCATAATGAAAATAGGGATTATGGAGCAGTGATGGCAAATCTTTCAGAACTTCCAAGGGTACAAACAGCCTGTTGTGGCATGTGTACCACTGGTTTGCCACCACTGGTAAAAAGGACTTAAATTTGCCTGCAGATTAAACTTTTCCACCTATTAAGGACAATCTGTAAGCAAGGAAAGGGAGTCGAGAGGCCTTCATTTCTACCATGCTACTATAAGAAAATAACTAAAGATCACTTTATAAGGAAGCTCAGTAGTTTCTATAAAGGAAATGTTAGTTTGTCATTAATTTGTTCTATGAAATATGTATTATACAATAGCCCTCTGGTTCAACCCACTGTATTTGCAAAGAAAACAATTTATTATTATCTGCCAAAATTTGTTTCTTTGTTTTTTTGGGACAATTAAACCTATGCACTCGAGACTGGCCTCAAATTCACAGCAATACTCCTGCCTCAGCCTCCCAAACAGTTGGTATCTATAATTCCAGCTACTTCAGGGAAGGGAAGGGAAGGGAAGGGAAGGGAAGGGAAGGGAAGGGAAGGGAAGGGAAGGGAAGGGAGGAAAAGGGGATTAAAAAGGAATTAAAATGTGTTCTGTCCATGTATCAATGTTCCACAAGGAATGTAAATATTATATACTACACACATGTACTAAGCCAAAATTTTATAAGTTTTTCAAAATTGGCAAACTTTATACTGCCAACTTGTGGCGATCCTTTTCCTTCAGCTTGCTGAATGCTAGAATTATAGGTATGTTGCCACCGCGCCCAGCTATTCTTAGAATTTTTTTCTTTTTGGTACAAGGAATTGAGCTCACAACCTTTTGCTTGCCAGGCAGGTACTGTACTACTGAGCTATATATATCCCTGGCCCAGAGCATTTTGAAAAAGTTTGAAATTATCTCAAAATAATTTTAAAGGAAAAATTACATGACTAATCTATACTTTTTATATTTCTACACTGTGTCACTAAAAAATAAAAAAAATTTAAAAAAGAAAGAAATAAATTTAAAAAGTAACCAAATGTTTCTTCTCTGACTTGTGGTTTTTTAAATTTAAAGACAGAGTCTTATAGTTCAGACTGGTCTTGAACTTGCACTGATCGTCCTGCCTCAGCCTCCCAAATGCTAGTATTATAGGTGTGCATCACCACACCTAGCTGGCTTGTGCTTCTGAAATGAGTTTTATTTACAAACACAAAAGTAAGTTTATAGATTTATTTTGGAATGTTTTAGCTTGATTTAATTTGAGAAAGTAAAACAATCCTAGTTTTAAAGTAATCGACACCATTCTGCAGGCATGTATTTATTGGCATTTACTAATATTTATTTTATAAATTTGCATTTATCAAATGAAAAAAAAATTACTTCCAATATTCTCTCAAATCTTTAAGATGGAAAAAATAAAACTAAAATTTAGTTCTGTCTCCAACATCAACTGCCAAATCAAGTTTCAAATATAATCTTGTAACAACTGGTAAACTAAGAAGAAAAAAGAAAAACCCACAAAGTATAGTGAAGTTTCCGGACCACTCTTTCTAGTTTTTACACTAATTTGCAAACTGAACCACTCTACTATGTAATTCCTCGTAAAGATTCCGTGCAAGTATCTTCAGTGAAACTACCCTGGGTCACCAAAGCAGGATGTTCAACTCAAAAGTGAGGCCACACATTGATTTAATAAGCTACGGGGCTTTGAAGAAAGCCTAATTTTTTATAGTTTCAATTTTCAGTTGTTTCTGTTTTCATTTCTAGTCTTCTGGTGGGGAAGATACCCCCATTTCATAATCCACACTTTGCTAGTGCACTGATTGAAATAAGAGCACCAGCAGAGCTTATGCATCTTAATGGAGTGTTAGCTTTAGAGCCTAGTTGTTACAATTTAAATGCTAATACTGTTACAGCAAATAGTCCAAAACACTTAACACACTCAGCTTGAGTCAGTAAAATTTAACTAAAATTTCATTTGATTTGGGTAGACTATTTAGAAATTATAGCCTTTTTCCATCATTTTGTTGAATTTTGAAATGAAACTCATGCGGTGCTCTTCTTACAGACTGACATTAACAGAAGGGAAAGAATGGGAAAAGATCATCTGCTCTTTAAGAGGTACACTGTACTACGTCAAAATCATGAAGCAAGAAGGTCAGAGACACTGTGCCAAGCAACATTAGACGCAATGAACACACAGTGATGCCTGCAACAGACACACTGTGGTTTCTAAGCACCATTTTTCACTAAAAGGAGCTTCTCAGGGAAATGGCTGGTTCCAGGTCTGGGGAGGAAATGAACAGGAGAAGCCTGGAACCAGAAAAAAAGAAAGGCTGTAAAAGACTGCTATGAGGTAGCAAGAGAATTAGAGAAACAGACTGACAAAATTCCCACTGGTCAAAGACTGGATACTTTAAACAAGATAAGGATATTGGATTAACCAATGGATTAAAACACATCAATTATGTTTAAATTCAAGAGTTTATTATAATGAAACAAAAAGTTCTCACTTGGTCATTTGTAGAGAACAGTAGGAAACTATGTCATTATCTTGAAAACTGATAAATAAAATGAAGAGCTAACCTGTAACTTCTCTATGAAGTTTGCACCTGGGATTAGCCACATAGTATTACCTTTATGTAAGCATTTCAGTAAGGAATGGCACAAGAATGTGATCAGCACAAAACAACCTCAAGTGAATTACAAATTGGCAGGATCATCAATAGCTAGAAACATTTCAAAAAAGATAACTTGTTACACAGTAGTATGTATGTGTAAATCTGCCCTAGTAGGAAAGAATACTTTATTTAGGCATGTTTAGAACTGTCCCTGTAAAGCCATAATACAAAACCACTAATTTAGAGTGGATTACTTATTGATGCTAAATTACCCATAGAAAATACACTGTTCCTTACTCTGGTCAGAGACTCCATCATTCCCTACCCCTCCAGTCTCCTGTGCCACTAATTATATAATTTGTGTCAGTTACTCAAAACTACCTCAGAATGGGGTCAGTCTGTGCTTTAGACTCAATCTTGAACTTGCCTACTATTTACAGAAAATAAAAGGGATAAAGAACCAAGTTAAAAATAGACAAATAAAAACTTTATTAGGATACAGTAAGCAAATTCCAGACTAAGAATTCTACAGAACAAATGATCTAGTTGCCCTTAAGGAAACTATAAGGAAACAAATCCAAAATGAGACAGAAAAGGGATAATTAACTAAAAGATTGCAATTGACTGTACTCTATGGGCGTTACTTGAATTTATCACTTAGATATTAATTCAAACAAAATTAAAAAGAAAAAAGACCATTAGCTGATGTGATGGTACAGCCTTGTAATCCCAGCACTCAGGAAGCTAAGGTAAGGGAATTACCTGTCACAAGTTCAAGGCCAGTCTGGGCTACATACTGAGTTCAAAGCTATCTTGAACTACACAGCAGAGATCCTTTCTCAAAAAAAAAAAAAAAAAAAAAAAAAAGAATAGAAAAACTGACAAAGTATTTTTTAAAAAGTGTATCTCCTGCTGGGGATATAGCTCAGTGGGAGAGTGCACTGAGCTCAATGCCCAGGACAAGGAAGGAAGGAAGGAAGGAAAAGAAAGAAAGAAAGAAAGAGAAAAAGGAAAAAATCTTCCACTGGAGTCAAATGATTCAGATGTCAAAAGATGTCAACAGAACAGGTGTGTCCATCCTTTTGAACTTAACAACTTTTGAAGAAAGGCCATGTAGAGCAAAAGCAGCTAATACATCAACAATATATGAATTACAGGAAAAAAAAAAAAAGGTAAAGAGATCCTTACCCACAGCTCCAAACATCTATGGCTGGCGTATAACGCTCCTCTCCCAGCAGCAGCTCTGGTGGGCGGTACCACAGAGTAATGACTTTGTTCGTGTAAGGGCGACTGTAATATAAAATCATTACACGTAAATTTACAATGGCTTTTGATAAAAAAAAGCAAATAGATATAGCTGGCAAGTGAAGATGAGATTATTAAAATAGCTACACATGAAACAGTCTAAAAGTAAACAAGAGAAGTAGGAGATGAAAAACAACTTTTTTTTTTTTTTTTTAGCCAGTCAAATTTAGCAGTGGGGGGGTGGTATACCAACTTTAGTGACACTAATGTTAATAAGTTCTAATAACCCACTGCCATCGGACCAGCCTTTTTTTTTTTTTTTTTTTTTTTTTTTTTTTGAAAAACAACTTTTATTTCAATTTGGGTTGACTTATTGAAGCCAAGTGCTAAATCAAGAATATAGATAGAATTTAATGTCTAAAATCTGTATGGTGACACATTCAGATAACTAGGGCAGGAGATGGGAGACAGCTCAGTGGCATAGCACTGGCTTGGCAACTTGCCGAGTTCAAATCCCAGCACCAAAACAAACAAAAAAACAAATAATTAAGGGAATCTGACAGGTAATGCCATTTGCAGAACACTAAGATACTCAAGAATAAAAACATTCTTTCCTATTTCCCATACATAATCTTTTTAACTTTTTTTTTTTTTTTTGGTCTTTTTTTCGTTTTTATCGGTACCAGGGATCGAACTCTTGACTGCCTGTTTGCAAGGCAGGTGCTTATGCCGCTGAGCTAAATCCCCAGCTTTTCTTTTTAACTTTTTTGAAACAGGAGTCTGTTGTCCAGGCTGACACTGAATACTTAGGCTCAAGTAATCTTTCCCACTTGTACTTTTGAAGAATGCCTTACCTCTCTTCAGAATTATAGAGCCGAGCAAGTCCAAAATCTGCTAGTTTGATTTGTCCGCTGTAAAACAAAAAACAATTATTTTGTAGTAATAGCAGTTGTCTCCAAACACACTTCAAGAAAGGAAGCCAATACTGGAGTTAAAAGAATTACAGAAATGAATTTTTACCTCTGTTCTCTTATTTCTATTTGTTTGGTTTTTCTTTTTCTTTTCTTTCATTTTATTTTGGTAGTGGGGATTGAACTCTCAACTCTGTGCTTGCTAGGCAGGCGCTTGCACTGCTGAGCTAAATCCCCAGCCCTTTGCTGTCTTTTTGAGACAGGGTCTCATTATGCAGTTCAGGTTGGCCTTAAACTCACTGCTATCTTTCTGCCTCAGCCTCCCAAGATTTGCAATTATAAGTATGGTACCACCATAGCTGGCACTGTATTTCTGGATTTGATTTCTTTTTTTCTGTTTTTGTTTCTTATTTTCTTTCTGAGACAGGGTTTTGCTATGCAGTTCAGGCTGGCCTAGAACTCACGGTGATCCTCCTGCCTCAGTCTCCCAAGGACTGAGATTACATTATAGGCACCAGACACCATGCCCAACTCTTTTTTTTTTTTGTTTTTGTATGGCAGCACCAGGGATCGAATCTGGGAGTGCTGAAGTAATACCCTCAACCTTTTTTATTTTGAGGCAAGATCTTGCTAAATTGCCAAGACAGGCCTCCAACTTGCAATTCTCCTGCCTCAGCTTCCTAAATAGCTGGGATGACTACATATTTTGTGCCACTGTGCCTGACTCGATTTTTTTTTTCCCCTTTGGTACTTGTATTTGAACCCTGGACCTTTTGCTTGCCAGGCAGGTGTTTGTGCCACTGAGCTATACCTCTGGTTGGATCTGATTTCTTTCTTTCTTTTTTTGGTACTGGGGGATCAAACTCATGACCTCGTGCTTGCAAAGCAAGCGCTTATGCTGTTGAGCTAAATCCCCAGTCCTGGATCTTAACCACATATTTCTTTCATTTCTTGGCAACAATGCTTAGAACCTGCTGGATTAAATACTTATTACTGAAGACAAAAAAGAATGGGAAGTTCCAGATTAAGAGAGACTTAAGAGGCCTAATAAATCTAACGACTGATTTTGGTGTGAACAAACTAGTGGCAAAAGACATTTCTCAAATAACTGAAAAAAACACAAAATATGAACTGGCTATTGAAAGATTCTGGGGCCAGGGATACAGCTTGGAAGCACAGTATCTACCTGTCAGCTGCAAGGTCCTGAGTTCAATTACTGGTAATGGGGAAAAAAAATTAAAAATACAAAGATACTAGGAAATCATTTTTTCAGATTAGTCTCAAGTGTAATGTTTACAATTTACTTAAACATAATTTTTTTTTTTTTTTAGTACTGGGGAATTGAACCCAGGGCCTTTGCACTGTGGTACATCCCCATTCATCCCTACATTCATATGTTCATTATTAATCTGCTAAACTGCCCAGCTTGGATTTGAACTTGCAATCCTCCTGCTTTACACTCTCTCAGAATGCTAGAATTACAGGTGTGCCCTGCTATGGCTGATTCTGCAATTTACTTTAAATTTGTTTTTTTGGTACCAGGGATTGAACTCATGACCTCGTGCTTACCAGACAGGCACTTAACACTACTGAGCTAAAATCCTAGCCCTGCAATTTACTTTAAAACAAGTAGAAAAATAAGAAGCAAATATGATAAAATAGTAATTGTATATGTACTATTAATTATATTCATAATTTTCTAATTTTGTCATTTGTCATAGTAAAAAGTAAACTACAATACTGTGGCTATTTTTGTTTGTTTGGTTGATTTTTTGACACAAGGTCTCAATATGTAGGCCAGGCTTGCCTTGAACTCACAATCCTCCTCCCTTAGGCCCTCAAGTGCTATGATACTGTAACTATTCAGATATTTTCAAACTAGGATTATAGCTGTGACCTGAGCAAACAATTTTTTTTACAATTCGTAAGGCCCCTTCTACAAAATATTATTTCCATTATCTCTTATGACAAAGATATAAACTATCACCTCAAAAGGGGTCTGAAGTTTTTACCTAGAGTTTCTTAAACTCCCTAAGCCCCATTTTCTTTTTCTTTCTTTCTTTCTATTTTTTTTAGTAACAGGGATTGAACTCAGGACCTCGAGTTTGCCAAGCAGGCACTTACACTACTGAGCTAAACCCCTGGCCCAATCTAGCCCCATTTTCAGAGATGCTGACTGAGCAAGTCAAGGCTTGTGGATTTTTTTTTTTTTTTTTTAAACTCAGAGCCTCATGCTCACTAGGGAAGTGCTCTACTCTTGAGTTATATCTGTAGCCTTCTACAAAATTTGTATTCTGAGAAAGGGCTTCATTCAATTGCCAGGCTGGCCTCAAATTTGCAATCCTTTTGCCTCATCCTCCTGAGTAGCTGAAATTATAGGCATACATTATTATCCTCTGCTCTGAGACCCACACTCTGAAAAGCATTTCTTTAAAGGGATAACAACTAGGTTTCATTCTTCTTTTTTATTTTTACAGTGCTGGGGATTGAGTTCAGGGCTTTGCACATATTAAGTAAACATTACCACTGAGCTGCAACCCCAGCCTTCAGTATTCTCTTTGGCAGTAATGCTAAGAAATAATTTATGAAACTACAACACAAGATTTTGGGAACCTATTTAAAAACTATTTATTGCCAAGTATAGTGGCCCATGCCTATAATACCAGCACGTGGGAGTCTGAGACAAGAGTTTAAGGCCAGCCCAAATCAGAGCAAGCCCATCTCAAAAAACCTAAAAACAAATGAACAAAAGCCCATTTACTAACTGATTTGGAACAATCATATTTACCTGGATCATGTAGCCTGTCTAATCATACTCATAACCTTGCTAGGGTAAAAAGCCAATTCATTCTTTCATAGGGGGCTGGTGCCTGATAGCCCAGCAAAAGAATGATATAGCAGAAAAAAGAGGCAGGCTAAAAGGTGCTCCCCAAAGTATGAGCAAAGATAGAAATCAAAACAAGTTAACAATGAAACCCTTCATTAAATCAACTCTTAAAGCAGGGTATGGTGACACACAAAGTTAAAATGGCAACAGATATAAAGTTATAGAAGAGGCAAGACTTAAGAATCCATCACTGGGGGCTGGGGATTTAGTTCAGCGGCATAAGCACCTGCCTTGCAAGCAGGCGGTTGTGGGTTCGATTCCCGGTACCGATAAAAAATGAAAAAGACAAAAAAAAAAAAAAAAAAAAACAAAAAAAGAATCCAGCACCAAGCTTATTTCCTGCCTGGCTCACAGTAAGTACTAAAAATCATGAAATTAACCTGTCACAGAAAGTTGTGATAGCACTTATACTGATTAGTTGTTCCTTCTTCCAACTATGCTCTAATGAGGTAAGAAGTGTGGAAGTATTGGTAAAGGTTGGTAATATAAAATAAAACAGAAACACTTCATGCTGTTTATTATGTGAAGTCACAGGAGTAATGTACTCTATGTAAGGAAATCCAAAGAATCTTTTCTGAGATCATGGTTTTAAACCGACTTATGACAAGATTATCAAGTACTTGCTGCTTCTAGTTCTTCTTTCCCTTACCGTACTTCCTCATCTAACCAGCCTGGACCAATGGTGAATTAACCAAACTACTGATTTCAAGTTCCCTTCACTTGTGACCTCTTGATACATCTAATCCATAAATTCCCAGTTCTGGATAAATATGTAGACAATTCATCTTTTCTATTCTACCTAGAGAATTAGATACAGGATCAGCTGGGTGTGCTGTGCACACCTGTAATTCAAAACGCTTGGGAGGCTAAGGCAAGAGGTCTGCAAGCTTGACGCAACTTAGAGAGACCTTGTCTCAAAGTGAAATTTTAAAAATGGACTGGGAAGGGACGTGGGATATAGCTCAGTGGCGCAAAGCTTGCCTAGCAAGTGCAAGGTCCTGAGTTCAACTCCCAGCACCCTCCCCCTCCTTCTCACCAAAAAAAAAAAAAAAAAAAAAAAAAGACTGAGGACATAGCTCAGTGGTAGAGCACCTGCCTAGTAATGTATGAGGCCTTGGGTTCCATCCTGAGTACTGCAAGTAAACAAACACACCCACCACTGCCATGCCATTAACTGTGCAGTCCTTCATCCCTCACCCTGTATTAATGTTACCTCTGACATTTTACTTACAGACTCACCTTTTAGGTCTTAGAATCTGTTGCACTATCTGACATCTATAACCCTTCACTTAAACTTCAGGTGCTTGCAATGACAATACTTGTTTTACGTTCCATCTCTCTGGTCATTTCTTTTGGGCTCCATTTCTGACTTCTTTTCTGTTCTTTTTAACTTCAAAATCTATATTACTAGTCTGGAGTTCCCACATGATCACATAGCTATTAGATATCACATCCCTGGATGCAGAAGAAAATCTGCAGGATATTTGTTTGGTCACTCCACCCACTGCATTCTTTCTTCTATCTTACACATAATGACTGGGAATACCATGCACCTAGGTAGTTTCTCGCATCAGAAACTTTTAAATCATACTTTCTCTTATTCATTCTCATCATTCACTCATCAAAGTCAACTCATGTATCAATCTACCAAACCCATCCTACAAGAAGATCTATGTTAGTTCAAACATATCATTTTAACTACTCATATATGTACGGTATATGTGTATATAGTATTAAAGACCAAACCCACAGATAATCTACCACTAAACTATATCCCTAGACCTTTTTATTATTAATGATTATTATTTTTTTTTGGTACCGGAGATCAAACTCATGACCTCACATTTGCCAAGCAGGCACTACGCTGCCCAACCCCATTTTTCATTATTTTTGAGACAGAGTCTCAATCAATTGCCCAGCCTGGCCTGGAATTTGCAGTCCTCCTGCCTCAGCCTCCCAAGTAGCAGGGTTATGGGTGTGGGCAACTACACACTGCTCTTACAGTGTTCTTATAGTGATTATTAGAGTTGTTTCTTTCTTCTTCTTCTTCTTCTTCTTCTTCTTTTTTTTTTTTTTGAGAAAGGGTTTCATCATGTAGTACAGGCTGGCTCTGAACTTACTTAGGTAGCCCAGGCTGGCCTCAAACTCAAGGGATCCTCCTGTCTCAGCCCCTCCAGTGCTAGGATTTAAAGGGGTATGCCACCACACTCCACTACAGCTATTTCTAAACAGAAGTCTGTCTAAAATGCTCTAATCTCAATTACATTTGTGTAATAAAAATATAATGAACAATATAGAGCCCAGCACTGCTGTTTGCTTTTATCAGCTGCTATTTCTTCCTGGACCTGTTGACACCCCTTCAGTTTTCTCCAAGGCATCTCACCCAGGGGTGTCTCAGAAGACAGGGCTAAGTGGCCAAAGAACCCTAATCCATGGGATTCCAACTCCCTACTTAGCAACCTGAAGGAGTAGTTTAGTTTTGAACTTTCTCCAAGTGTCCTAACTGCAGGAAGTGAGGGACGCGGAGTAGTCCTACCAGAAAAGACACAAAACAGCACTGCAAGTACTCCCATCTGTGAGTCAGGGAACTAAGGAGCAAAGGGAACAGAAAAAAGTATGTAGATACTATAAGCTAAAAAACTGTAAGAGGACAGCCATCAAGTTCTTAGTGAAACATTTATTATGGATGTAGATTTAGGAATCTTTGACTCTGTGAATCACAGAGAACATTAGAAAGGATGAATATTTTTGTTTTCCTTTTTTTTTTTTGAAACAAGCTGTCACTGTATTGCCCAGGTTAGTCCTCTGATCCTTACACTTCACCCTCCTGAGTATCTGGGATTACAGCTGTGTGCAACAACCTGGCTTAAGAAACAAGCTTTTACATCATGTTGACTTTTTTTTTGGTACTAAGAATCAAACTCAGGACCTGGTACTTGCCAGGTAGGCACTTCACTGCTGAGCTATATCCTTGGCCCTAATTTTTCATTTTTTTAGTACTAGTCATAGAATCCAGGACCTCACACTTGCCAGGCAGGCACTTGTAACACTGAGCTGTATTTCCAGCATGTTGTCTTAATAAAAGTATTTAATTGCAATTTAAAATAATATGGAACTCATACAATTTTTTTTATTTTTTGTCTTTTTCCTTTTTATCGGTACCAGGGATCGAACTCACAACTGCCTGCTTGCAAGGCAGGTGCTTATGCCGCTGAGCTAAATCCCCAGCCCCGGAACTCATTCAATTAAAATTAAACTGGATCAGCACCTTTCAATGGTTCCCTGTCAACTAGACAAAATTTAAGCTCCTTAGTAGTGTTTACAAAATCCTAAAACTGGCCTCCAATAACCATCCTGTTTTACATTTTGCCATTAATGCACTTTACTCTCCTTGCTCCAGCAATACTGACATGCTTACAGTTTTTCAGGATTAACATACTCGTCCCATAGTTGCGTGCTTTTGTGCATATAGTTTCTTCCTCCTAGAAACCCCCCAATGTGATAAATTCCTACTATTCTTTCTTCAAGGCTATATCTTTCCAGGTATTCCCAAAATCGGGGGGGGGGGGGGGGGAGATCAGGCTTGCTAAATGTTTCCTGAACTGAACAATTAATTTGTATCGCTCCTCCACTAAGCTCTGAAGTTCCTAGCAAGAATCCATTCCATAAGAGACTTTTTAGTACTAAAACAAGGACAATCTCAGGTAATATTGCACGGCTGGTTGCCCTCTTCCATATGGCAATATGTCATAATTAGTCTATATTCTCGTTTACATGTTTGATAGGTAGTAATGTTAAAAACAATGATTGAGATGAAAATGGATGTCAACAGCCCAACCTGAAGATTGAGCACTGCCCTAATTTCAGCAGTACCAGATTTGTTCTTTACCCTTCAACAGACAGGGCTACTAACAAAGGTTAATGTGCATAAGATATCTGATATTACCAATGCTGGGTAAGAAATAATAAAAAGGGAAGAAAGCACATGATAAAACTGTCTGCCATAAATTCTTTTTGGTGGGGAGATACTGGGGATGATCTCAGAACCTCACAGCATTCAAACTCATAACCTCAGGCAACTTTTTGAGACTTAACAGCAGCATCCTAAGAATTTACATAATTAAATCCTGAGGGTATGGGACAGAAAGGCCAATTACCAATACAAAAAGACAGTCACAGCTGGGGGTGGTGGCTATAATCCCAGCACAGAGAGGCTGAGGCAGGAGGAGCGCCACTATAAGTTTGAGACCAGCCTGTGCTACAAAGTGAGTTCAAGGCCAGCCTGAAGTGCGTAGAGATTCTGTCTCAAAAAGATAAAAAAAAAAAAAAAAAAAGGCCCACAAGTAGATAAAGGAGAAGCTATGTTTCTCCCTGCTCAAAAACAGAGTATCACCAAATCCCAACATGTATTTATCTTTGAATAAGACTGTGACATTATCCGCTATGGCAAAGAACTCTCTGATTTTTCCTATAGACTCTGAGTGATTTCCTTGCAATTAAGAAAAGAAAGTTCTTTCACTGTTAATTACTCCCCAACACTAAGTCTAAAGGCCTGGCAGATCAGAGTTCACCTAATATAAATTATTCCTAATATACAAACATCAGGAACACTTACAGTACTACAAATAAAGGGGAAAAACTTGGGACTGGGGATTTAGCTCAGTGGTGTAAGTACCTGCATGGCTGGCACAAGGTCATGAGTTTGACCCCAGGTACCAAAAAAAAAAGGAAAAACTTGTACTATTAGATTTTTAGCATTAAAAAGTCTCTTATGGAATGGGTTCTCTGATAATCCCAATTAACTAGCTGCAACTCAGAAGTCAAAGGAATATATAATCTTATTTGGTTACTATATATGTTACCTGTTGTTCAGCAAAATGTTTGAACACTTAATATCCCGATGCAGGAAATTCTTTTTGTGACAGTAATCCAGCCCTTCCATTAGCTGTTTCATGAACGACTTAATGTGGTCCTCAGAAAAGTGCACCAAGCCAGATTCAAGCAGTCCCATTAAGTCATGGTCCATATACTCAAATACAAGGTAAAAGGCACCTATAAAATGAAAAAATTAAAAATAAGAAAAAAAGAATGCTGAAATAACAATACCTCAAATTTTAATGCAATTTTGGAGGCAACCATAAGCTTTTCTGCAATAATTCCTTAATTTTAAAGATGAAAAAACTAAAACTAAAAATGGTTAAATAATTTGCCCTTTTTAATAATAAAGGTAACAGTAACAGAATTAACAGTTGAATTACATCTTCCAATTCCTAAGCCAGTGCTCCTTAGATTACTTACCTCTTGAAGGGATACCTGTCATGACCAGGCTGTATTAAAAAGACTTCTGATGATCTAAATCAGCCACTGAATTACAGACCCTGGGCTAAATCTAATCTGCTGTCTGTCACAAATAAAGTCTCATTTGTAAAGCAATCCTGTCCATTTGTTACATATTGCTTAGGACTACTTTTTTAAAGGTCTTTACCTCAGTTAACAGGATTCATATAATAGGCCAGTGGGGGGAACAAAAAAGATGAATTACCTAACTAAATCTCCTACATTTATAAATAGATAAAAGGAGCTAGAAGTATGCTACAAAAATAGTTGTAAGAGTCCTAGGCATTTAGCACAGCACCTGCCTGGCAAGCAATAAGTCCTGAGTTCAAGTCCTGGTTCCCACCAAAAAGAGAAAAGATGAAAAAAAAAACCAGGTAGTGGTAAACAATCTGAAATGCACACTATCTTTTCACTTTTGGGAGAGCAAATGACAGGCAAATATTGTAAGAAATACTAGAATAAGCCAAGTATGGTGGCATATGCCTGTAATCCTAACACTTTAGGAAGCTAAGGCAAGAGGTCTCCAGTCTGGGGCCAGCAAGGGCCACTTAGAAACTTAGCAAGACTGGGGCTGGGGATTTAGCTCAGTGCCATAAGCGCCTGCCTTGCAAATGTGTGGTCATGAGTTCGATCCCTGGTACCGATTAAAGAAAAAGAAAACAGAAAATTAGCAAGACCTTGCCTCAAAATAAAAAATAAAAAGGACTGTGAATATAGCTCAGTGCAAGAATCTGGCCTCAATTCCTAGAACCACAAAACCAACCAACCAGCTAAGAAATAATAAGTTGAATGCAATCCAAAATAATTCCATATTCCACTTATCTAGCTAGGTGACAATTTTTTAAAGTTATATACAATCACACACCACTTATCTACTGTGATCCACTCTGAGAAATGCATGTTTAGGTAATTTCATTTTGTGTAACACAGAGTACATTTACACAAACTTAGACAGGACAGCCTTTTCTACATCTAGGCTAGATGATCATAACTGACCACAGTGTCATTATATGGTGCAAGATGATGTTCAATGTTGGGGAGCTTACAGTGAGCATCACTGATGGGACATAAACTGCTACCATCTTTCTTAACAGCAATTTGGCATTAAATACAAAAACCTCTTTAAGAAATCTAAGAAGCTACATTAAGAAAATAAATCAGGGGCCAGGGATTTACCTCAGTGGCTCAAATGTTTGCCTGCTAAGCGCCAGGTGCTGGGTTTGATCCCCAGTACAAAAAGAAAAGAAAAAAAGGAAGAAATGAAAGAAAGGAAAAATAAATCAAGGGCCAGGGGTTTAGCTCATTGGCACAAATGCCTGCCTGGCCAAGTGTGAAGTCCTGAGTTTGATTCCCCATACCACAAATAAATAAACAAATCAGGGTAGGAGTGTTGCTTGATGGTTCAGTACATGTTTAGCATGTATGAGGCCTTGGTTTCAATCCCTAGCAGCAAAATAAACTAAGCAGGACCAAGGATATATAGCTTAGTGGCACAGCAGTTGCCTGGCAAGCATGAGGTCCTGAGTTCAACTACTGGTACCTAAAAACCCAAATATATTAAAAAACAAACGAACAAATAACCCCCAAAACTAGATAAGGCATAACATAAAGATTTATTATGTTCAAAGATGACTCAAAGAATGCTATTCTATTTTTGTTTTTGAGACAGGGTTTTGCTATTTTGCCAAACTCCTGGGCTAAGTGATCCTCCAATCTTAGTCTACTGAGTGACTGGGACTACAGGCATACATTGGCACACCAGGCTGGTATTTTTCAAAACTCACAACTAAATGCTCAACAAGACTGGTAAAATTTGGCCTCATATATCTTTATGTCACAAAAACATTTTAATGATGTGAGAAAGTATATCAAGTTATAAACACTAACTACACTTAGATCTCAGTTACCCTAAAATAAGTACACTATGTATAATGTACTAGAAGCAAATACATCAAAATGTTAACAGTAAAGAAGTTTTCTCCAGATGGTGGTATTAGTATGGAGTGGAAAAGAAGTGATTACCATTGTTTTCACTCCCTCTTTTCCGATTTCAATGTTTCTATAATCATCTGCTTACTTTTTTTAATTTATTTTTCTTTTTCTTTCTTTTTATTGGTACAGGTTTGTTTGTCTTTTTTTTTTTTTTTGCTACCACACACTGGCAAGGCATGTATGAGGCCTTATGCCACTGAGCTAAATCCCCAGCCCTAATCATCTGCTTACTTATGGTGACTTTCATTCATCCATTTACTTATTATGACTTTTTGTTATCTTTTGAGACAGGGTTTCAGGCTTCACTATGCAGGCTAGGCTGGCCTGGAACTCACACTGACCCTCCTTTCTCAAGCCTCCTGGGTGCTGCGATTACAAGCAAGCACCACGATTTCTGGCTCTAACTGTGATTTTTAAAAGTAATACACAGGAAATATATAAACCATTCACTACATATACTATCTATACTACAGAATGGCATGAGTGAACAGTTTCTCTAAAACCAACCAATTAACATTTTCTTTTGCATCCTTACAGAAACTACCTATGAATTACTGTATAATCAGAAAGATTATACTATCAAGAAATATACCTAGTATTATTAATTGTTTAGCTCTAACCTTTGCTAATTTACCCAAATATTGTTCCATAACCAGAATTTCCTTTTATTTGCTTTTAAACTATCACATTCAAGACTACTATACCTCTAGTGCCACCATCCTGAAGGCTCAGTAAACAAGTCCAGTTTAACTTTACCTATTAACTTTTTAGTTTTACATACTTAACCTTCCAAAACTCCGGACTATATTCATAGATGCTGACAGGCTCTATCTTCAATTGTCCACATATAAACATTCTTTAGATTTCTTACAAGACTGGATGATGTCACGTGAAATTACTTCAAAAATAAGTATGAAAATGAGTAATTTTCTTTTTTATAAAATTTTCTATCTTGGGGCTGGGGATTTAGCTCAGCGGCATAAGTACCTGCCTTGTAAGCAGGCAGTCGTGAGTTCAATTCCTGGTACCGATAAAAAAGAAAAAGACAAAAAAAAAAAAAAAAAAATTTCTATCTTAAATAGAAACAGAAGCTATAATTCTACGAAATTTAACCATATGAGCTAATAAAAATACTTTTTAGAAATACCTTCTTTGGGTATACACAAAGAATAATCAGAAGGAATGATATAAAAATAACATTAACTTAAAAAAAGAGTTGCAGGAAAATTCTCATGCCAATACAACACACACCCACACCCACACACAAGAACCCACAGAGCTAGAAAGGAAAAAAAAGAACAGTAATTGATTAATCTGAGTATCACACTATATTTTCAATCCTAGAGGCTGAACTCAGGTTCTCTGCACCAAGTGTACCGTCCCACTTCTTTCTTGGAGATGAAGTCTTGCTAAGTCACTAAGTTGCCCATGCTGGACCAAACTTGTGACCCTCTAGCCTCTTCGTGTTCCTGATCTAGGTTTTAATTTCCACTATTGTTTTGTAATTTGTTTTGTTTTTTGGGGTTTTGTTTGTTTTGGAGATAAGAGTCTCACTGTGTAGTTCAAGTTGACTTTGAACTTGCTTATGTAGCCCAGGCTGGCCTGGAACTTCCAAGGATCCTCCTGCCTCAACCTCCCAAGTGCTGGGATTATAGACATGGGCTATCATGCCTGGCTTGTAATTTGTTTTTGTTTTTTGTCTTTTTGAGCCAGGGTCTCACTATGTAGATCAGGCTGGCCTTGAGCTCACTTTGTGGTCCAGGCTAGTCTCAAACTCACAATGATTCCCCTGCCTCTACCTCCTGAGTGCTGAGACTACAGGCATGTGCCACTATGTCCGGCCTATAATTTGTTTTTTAAAAAAGGTTAAAAAAAAAAAAAAAAAAAACTTTCTAAAAACCTACAGGAACAAGGTCTAGCACAGTGATACATGCCAGGACTCAAGAAGCTGAAGCAGGAGGATCACTGTGAGTTCCAGGCCAGCCTGGACTACATAGCAAGACCCTGTCTTAAAAACACAAAACCCAACCAAACAACACACACACACACACACACACACACACACACACACGCACAAACTAGAAGATCTGAGAATTTAGTTCAGTGATAAGACTATGCTATGTGCTTAGCACATATGAAAAGTTAGGATGTACTCTCAGCATCCCACATAAACACAAAACAAAAACTCAACAAAACTCAGAAGGCAGGAAAAAAAAAGTTGATTAGAAAATGATCTTTTTTTTTTGTTTTTTTTTGTCTTTTTCCTTTTATTGGTACCAGGGATCGAACTCACGACTGCCTGCTTGCAAGGCAGGCACTTATGCCACTGAGCTAAATCCCCAGCCCCAGAAAATGATCTTATACTGTCTATCCATTTATTAGGAGTTACAGTAGATCCTTGCTAGCTGACACAAATTTTGAAGGTAAAGAGTACACTGATAAAAAATGACATTTGATAAAATGAGCACTGCTCAGCATAAAAGCATCTGCAAACATTAACTTTGGCATGGATTATAGTAAGAAAGTTAAGACTTTAGTATAACCTATTAAAAAAAGCTCACACAGCAATAAAACCCAAAATGTGTAATAGTCATTGTACAAAAGAGAGGAAAAGAAAGTGCTCTAAATGATATAACTGCATGTATATTTAAGTGTATAAGATAGAAAATGATATCACTGAGTTTTATTGGATCATTGAACAGAACTGTTTGCAGTATCATTGTTGGAATGCCCACTTTACAAGCTTTAATTTTGTGACTTGAACAATTATTTCTAAGATGACAATATGTAATCCATTAACTAGTGATTTCCTACTGTTTATTTTTTTCTGTAAATCTGTATAACTTGTACCCTTTCTCTGCTTTTTTTTTCTTCTTAATTAAAAAAAAAAAAAAGCTCACATAGAAGATGCACATGGTGGTACACACCTGTAATACCAGCATATGGGGAAGTTGGGGCAGGAAGTTCAAAAGTTTGTGCCCAGCCTGGAAAACTTAGCAGTCTAAAAACTGAGAGAGAGTGGGCTGGGGATTTCGCTCAGGGGTAATAAGTACCTGCCTTGCAAGCAGGCGGTCGTGAGTTCAATCCCCGGTACAGATTAAAAAAAAAAAAAAAAAATTGAGAGAGAGCATATGCACATGAGCAAGCGAGCTGGAAATGCAGCTCAGTGTGAAGGCCCTGGACTCAAATCCAAGTACTGGAAATTAAAAATTCACACAGCCAAACAAGCTTAGAAAACAAAATTGTCCCGATCTTTCCTATAGAAATATGATCCTTTGTTAGTACCTTTGTCTTTCTTGAAATCCAGTGCATCTTGCTTATCTGTGACAATCTCCTTCATGTTGACAACACTTCGGTGGATTAGCTGACGGAGAATCTTGATCTCACGGATGGCAGTGATTGGGAAGCCCTCTTTCTCATTGTCTAGTCTCACCTTCTTCAGAGCCACTAGCTCTCCTGTCAGAACAAATGCAGGCCATTATTACCAATTAGCATGGTTTAGTCAATGTTGTGAAGCCCCATTGCATGTCCCTCCTCTTGATAACTATTTTTCCATCTTTACTTTTAAGGCTTGGAGTTAGTCATGGAATATTCGGTTAGGCCTACCTAAAAATGTTAGGTTAAAAATATAACAGTTATTCAAACATTTCATTTTATATTCAAGTTTTCCCCTCCCCCCTAACATACAGCAGTCACAAGTTCAACCCCAGGCTGGGCAAACTATTTACCTGTATCTTTGTCTTTAGCTTTATACACCTGACCATAGGTTCCCTCTCCAATAATTCCAATAATGTCGAACTTGTCCACACAGCGTTTCCCCCAGTCAGTTTCTGTTTGTCGTCTTTCTCCATAGCGAGGACAACAAATTCTAAAAACAAAAACAGAAAGGTTTTAGGGTTTTTTTTTTTTTGTTTTTCTTTTTTTTGGTATCAGAGCTCAAACTCACAACCTCTTGCTTATTAAGACAGGTGCTTGTGCCAGAGCGCTAAACTCTCGGCCCCAAAAAAAGGTTTTTAAATGATGACTTCACTAGTTCTTGTATTTTCTATTAATATTATTGAAAAGGCAAAAATTATAAAATAAACAGTTTCTCAGTGGCTAAAACAGATTGAACAATAAATTTACTGCTTACTTTCTTGACTTTTCTTGAGTACTGGCTACAGCTCTAACAGGAAAAAAAATCCCTACATTCAAGGCTTATCATGAAAATAAAAAAATGTATTTTTGGCAGGAACACACGCTCAGTTAAATGGTAACTATTTTTTATTATTAACAGAGGAACATTAAGAGTTTAGCAGGTGCTGTATACTTCTTATCCCAGCACTTGGGAGACTGAAGCAGAAGACTGCCCCAAGTTCAAGGTCAATTTGGGCCACACAGAGTTCAAGGCCAGCTTGAATTACATAGGAAGACTCTATCTCAAAAAACCTCAAGGAATACTAAAAGTCTGATCGGCAAATATAGAGATACTCTGTCAGTGTCCCTACTATTACCTTGGCTAGCCATGGGAAATTGTCGTTCATAGGTTTTTTTCTCATTTCTATTAAACATTAATATATAAAAAAAAGTGATTTTTAAAATAAAAAAATAAAAATTGGACCAGACCCAGTTTATACTATATAGCATACCAATTTATATGCTTTAGGGGAAAAAAAAGTCCCATTTATTAATTTTTCAGTTATGTGTACATACATGATTGACATATGATTTTTTTAGCACTAGGAATTGAATTCAGGACCTCACATTTGCAAGGCAGGCACTGAGCCTTTTCCCAATGAGCCATTTTCCCAGCCCTTGATTGACATATCTTAAATGAAAGGAGTTTTCCTTCTTTTAGTATTCTCAGTATAAAGAGTTAAAAGATTTCACTATATTTGGATTTGGGATTTGTTGCTTTTCTAAAAACATAGCACTAAGCACAGTGGCTCATGCCTATGATCCTAGCATTTGGGAGGCTGATGCAAGAGAACTGCTGAGTTCGAGGTCATCTTAGGCTACACAGCAAGATCCTGTCTCAAAAAATAAAATAAAATAAAAATAAAGCTGCAATTATGCCGTTCCAAGTGGGGGCGTGGGCACCACAGCCTGCAGCCTACACACAGTTTTGGTGCCCTATGCAGCCTTCCTGATGTGACAGGCCAGCACTGCTCACAGTGTATAAATTCACAGAAAAACACACATGGACAACAATAGAAAGTGGTAGTGGAACACTAGCAATCAGCAGCTTTGGACTGGAAGCTCTGGGTGATGTTTACTGTAGTCTACCTGAAGTTACAACAAACTTAAAACACCATGAAGTGTTTGGTGCTTTGCAAAGTGTTAAAGCTGCCACTGAATTTTATTTTCCTGTCAGGAGAAGTAACTGAAATTAATGAAGCACTTGCTTTTCAATACAATCAATCTTGTTATGAAGATGGCTAGCCCATCAAGATGGCAGTGAGTGACACTTCAGAACTATATGAGTTCATGCCTATAATTCTAGCACTTGGGAGGCTGAGGCAGGAGGATTGTTGAAAATTGGAGACCAGCTGGGGCTATAAAGTGAGCTCAAGGCCAGCTGAACTACACAGTGAGATCTTGTCTCAAAAACAGAAAAAACAAACAAAAACCCAAAAAACAAAAAACAAAAGAACTACATGAGCTCATAAAGTAAAAAAGCCTATGAAACACGGATGAAATCAACTGAGGAATAAAGTAGCACAAAAAGTGACTTCATCCAGCACAGCTGTCTGCAATTAGTGGTGGACATTAAAACTTTAGAAAACAAACTTTTTTTTTGGTACTGGGGATTGAACTTACAACCCTGTGCTTGCAAGGCAGGTGCTTATGCTGCTGAGCTAAATCCCCAGGCCCCTTGAGGAAACAACTTTTAGCAGTACTATACCAATGGAAAAGGAAATCATGCTTAACACTGGCTGGATGAAAATACCCCTTAACCCTCTAGTGACTGCAAATAAACACATTGCACATATTTTTATACATACCTTATGACTTTGATTTTTATTGACAAAGTCTCACTGTGTAGTGAGAGCTGGTCTTGAACTCACTATGTAGCACAGCCTGGCTTTGAACTCATGGTGACTCTCCTCAGCCTCCCATATGCTGGAATTACAGGTGTGTGCCACCACACCTGGCTTCACTTTATGATTTTCAGACTAGGCTGTACGTTTTGATACTCAGAATTCATTAAATTATCTGGTAAAAACTAGTTATAAAAATTATGTAATTCAAGGACAACATAGTTATAAACCTTACATAATATTGTAACTTGCAGGACAGGGATATATAGCTCAGTGGCACAGCACCTGCCTGACAAGTGCAACATTGTGAGTTTGATTCCCAGTACCAAAAAAAACCAAAACAAAGCAAAACAAAAAACTGCTTCTTGCTTACATTTCTCCCTGGATTTGGGTGGAAATACTTGAATGATCTTCCCCTTGGAAATAACTAGGGGTGGAGAAGCATTTGTGTCAGCTGCATAGTGTCAGATGAAGAACTTTTCTTAACTTTTAATAGACTGCGTTGGCTGGGACTGTTTTTAATACAGTGAAGGAACAGCTTTGCAGCACAATAAAAAACAAATATTCAACTTTTTAAAAAACAAAACAAAACCATAACTAACTAAGTATTACAGGCACAGAAGAATAGAAATTGATAGACTTTTGGCCATAAAAATAAAAAACATACTTGAGGATCAAACTTGTATGACTTTACTGGTATAGACTGCAGAAGAAACATGTGAGAGTTAGTCCCAAAAGGGGAAAAGCTATAATTAACAATAGATCTCTTGGCAAAAAAAACAACAGATAAATCCAAATGGAGAGACATTCCACCAAATTGATATTTTTCTTTTTTTTTTTAAACTTTTTTTTTTTTTAATAGGTACCAGGGATCAAACTCATGACCACCTGCTTGCAAAGTAGGTGTTTATGCCGCTGCGCTAAGTCCCCAGCCCGAATTGATATTTTTCAATAAAAAAAAAATCTCTTCAAAACTCACTTTGGTCTCTTTTTAAATGGTTGCTGAGGTGGTGTAATTGCCTTTGGCTCTGGAGAGTCTGGGGGAGATGGGTCCCCACCAGGGAGCTCAGGAGGAAGAGGAAGGTCTGTGAGTAAATGGCGTGTCCTCTGTTCCTTCTCTTTCTTTACAGGTTTTGAAGGAAGAGTTTCTTTTGGACTAAATAGAGGTGAAGAGAAGAAAAGACATTGTAATTACTTTTTTTTTTCATTGTAATTACTTAAAGGATATGCAAACACAACTTTACAAGGAAGATTATAACGTACAGATATTAAAGGATAACAAAGATTTTAAGGGAAAAAGTGTAACAAAAAAAGAAAATTTAAAAATTGGGATATTACACATTATTCTTTTATCAAACTTTTAATGTCTTTCCTAAAATTTTACTTGGACTTTATTGAGATAAAATGAAACACAGGAAGTAATTTTTGGAATTTACCGACCCTATTTTATAGTGTTGTTATTGTTTATTTGTTTGTTTGGTACTGGGGATCTTAACCTCATACTTACTGAGAGCTACTGAGCTAAATCTGTAGCCCTTGTTTGTTTGAGACAGTCGTGCTATGTATTTCAGGCAGGCCTCAAATTCACAGTAATCTTCCTGCCTCAGCCTCAAAAATACAGGAATTAAAGGTGTTCGTGACCACACCCAGCACTGACTCTGTACTGTAGCCAATAAAGACTTAAGTAACAAACAAGAGCTAAACAATTTAGCACTACTGTATTACTGAATATGTGGGGAAAAAGAACTTTTGCTTTGAGACAGGGTCTCACTACATAGTACAGGCTAGCCTTGAACTCACTATACAGCCCAGGCTGGCCTGGAACTCACAAGGATCCTCTGCCTCAAGTTCCCAAGTACTGAAATTACAGGTGTGTGCCACCATACCTGGCAGAAAAAGAAACTTTTGAGATAAAGGTTCACTAGTTTCCAGACTGGGTTCCAACTTGTGATGCTTTTACAGCTTCATGCCTGTAACCCCACCTGCTTAGGAGGCTGAGGCAAAAGGATCCCAAGTCTGACTCCAGCCTATGCAACTTATTGATCTCTGTCTCAAAATAAAAAATATAATGGGCTGGGACTATAACCCAGTGCAAAGGCCCTGAGTTCAATCCTCAGTGCCACATACACACACACACACACACACACACACACACACACACACACAAAACATAGCTAAAATAGAAATCAAAAACTAGTGAAAAATATATGAAATGTGATGCAAGTATACAGTGAATGTATATTTTTATTTATTTATTTAATTTTTTTGGGGGGGGTCTTTTTCATTTTTACTGAGCTAAATCCCCAGACCCTACAGTGAATGTTTAAAACTTTACTACAGTACAGTGCAAGGTGTAGTGGCAAACACCTATAATCCCAGCACTTGGGAGGCTGAAGCAAGAGGGTCACTTCCAATCTGAGGTCACCCTGGGATACATAGTAAATTTAAAGCTAGCCTGAATTACCTAGCAAGACCCTGTCTCAAAAAAACAAAGAATAAAAACAAAGAAAGAAAATTATTATACTAAAGACATGTTGTCATCTATCCTCCCACCAAACATTCCCCCAAAACACACACGCTTCAAACACACTTATCCAATCATTTTTGCAATTTCTGAAGCAGTTCTGGAAGTCCTCTTCTGTGTCTTTCACATGGTGTTGTGACTGCCCCAAAGTCCTGAATCAATTCCAACTTTTCATTTTGACTCTAGGGAAAGAGTTAAGTCACTGGTGCCTGATCTAGTGAATAAGAAGATAAAGACACTGCAGTGCTTTTATAAGCCCGCCTTTCTGTAGCAGGCAGCATTCACCAAATTTTTTATCACAACTCATAGAAATTTTCATGGAGGGGCTGGGGATTTAGCTCAGTGGCATAAGCGCCTGCCTTGCAAGCAGGCAGTCGTGAGTTCGATCCCCGGTACCAATAAAAAGGAAAAAGACAAAAAAAAAAAAAAGAAATTTTCATGGAAGAGAATGTCTGGATCTGCTTTAGAAAGTGGCCAAGAACAATGGGATAAGCATATTCAAACAGGAGGGAATACTTTGAGGGGGATAAATAGCAATGTGTCTTTTAGTGTAATAAAATTTTTTTTTTAATTTTTATTTTGAAAGTATACAACAGAACAAGTCAGAATAAAGCCAACTAAGATCGTACAGTGAAATTGGTACAGAACTTCACAGCAGGTTACCAGGATAACAGTAATAGGTATCACAGTATATTTTGTTATCTTTATAATAGTTGTTCTTTCAATCCTGTAAGTGTAATAAATTTTTTAAAAATTTAAACATTCACTGTATATTTCAATCACTGCATATTTGTATTAAATTATTCTACTTTTTTAAAAGTAAAATTATCTCTGACCAGACAAAATAGGTAAATTATAATCTAAAAATCTAAGGAGAAAGAGTCCAGCACCTATTTCAGATTTATTAAAGCAGCTGGTGCCTCCTGTGATAACCATCACATTATAGTAGTGCAAAAAACAAAAAACAACAAAAAAATAAAGGATAGCTTTCCAGGGATAGAATTTAAAAGGTCAATTTTTGGATCTAGTTTTTTTTTTTTTTCTTTTTTAACCATAGCAATTTATTTATGAGGATATAACATGTACATCCTCAGAAAAGACAGACACCTACAGTACAGGACTACTAGTTCATGCCTACAAATAAGTTCTTCCATTATCAGAAGGTTGAAAGGATCTCAGAATCCTATGTACTCCTCCGCAGTTTTTTTTTGATAGCTGGTAATGAGAAAATAGACGCTTTAATACTTTCTAAAATAAGGAACAGATCCATTCCTTGCAACATATCTTTCTTTTTAAAGTATACTTCTGCCCTTTGTGTGTGAAATTCTAATTTTTTTCTATAAGAGATCTCATTTATTCAAAATATAAGAACACAGTCTCAAGAGCTATGTACTTTTTACTAGTTTTAATCTTTTTTTTTATTTTTTGTACCAGAGATCAAACTCATGACCCAGTGCTTACCAGGGAGGTGCTTCCACTGCTAATCTAAATCCCTGGCCCCATTTCTATCATTTAAAACCCTTTTAAAAGGGGTCGGGGATTTAGCTCAGTGGCACAAGCACCTGCCTGGTCATGGGTTCATGGCCTGTAAGGTCATGGGTTCGGGCCCCAGTACCTAAATAAATAAATAAATAAATCCCTTGTAAATCAGACAGAACAACAGAATCTAGGTTAGCTTGTACCACATTAACCAGAATGGCAATAATCTGGCAATAACCAGAATGGAGGATACAGTGATCACCTAAAACTTCCTACCAAATTACTGGTAGAGATGAACATCGTAATTTGGACTCACATTTTTCTAACCCACAACAAAGTCTATTACTAGAAAACTCTTAAAGAGTCAGGATGCAATATAGGCTTTTAAAAGATATTTAGGGAAGAAAAATTCTTAATTTCTCAAATGTTAGAATATTCTTTGTAAACCTAATGCCTCATGATTCAGCAATACATTTTCTTGATTCTGCTTCACTAGAAGAAAAAGAAAAATTCAAGTATCCAAAATGCCTCATGAATGCTATTCAAGTTAGGTTCAATCTGTCTTATATTTAAGGTTTGTTTTCCCCAAAGTTTACTTCATATATTCCTTTTGAAAACTACAAATTTATTGCATATTTATTTCAAGAAGAAAGAAGTATTTGATAGGATATATACAAGTCAAGGGAACACAATTTCAGTACAGGTCAAATCCTATTTCATCAAATTCCAATGTGTGAGAAACCTTGAAAATTTATGATGACCCTTAAAACTATATAATGTTTAACAATATTGCCATTATTCTTTAGTGTAAGGCACTAAGGATCAAGTAGCTTTATACAGTGACCACGATGCGACAGATACAGGGTCTAACTTAAAGAAGAAGATACATGTCAGTCACTACTTGAAGATTCAGTACCAGGAAAAGGTGATGTACACCTTATCAGCATCGGCAGTCCTGGTTTCCCATTTACACCTATATACAGGCTCACATGTAGTAATTAGGCTACATACTAATACTTGTGTATTTTTTAAAAAGGTTGCCAGAGTCCTGTCCAAATTTTAGTGTCATGGAAGTTAAGAAAATGGGATTCATCTGTAGGTACAAGGTAAACACTTACCTTAAGTTTTTAACTATAAAACACAGAATTTATATATATTCACCATTTAAAATGAAACAATTTCTCAATGCATAACTTTCAAGAGTTTGTTTGATTAAAGTTGTTGGGGAGGAAACCCCCAGCCTTATATGCTAGCCAAGCACTGTAGCAATGAGTTACTCCCCAGCCCCATTTTCAAGCTTTAATAGTATAAATTACTTTAAATATGATCATGCTTCTCCTTATCCTGGAAGTAGTTTTAAAAGTTATTTCATTGATTTTTACAAACTTGTATTAAAAATTAGAGATGAAAGTCTCTGCCTTTAGTCCAAGCTCTTGGGAGGCTGAGGCAGGGGTATATCAAGTTCCACATCCGCCTGCACAACTTAGTGAGACCATGTTTTAAAACAGTGTGAAGGCCCTGGGTTCAGTTTTCAATACTCTACTTCCTACACCCCCCCCCCCAAACTGGAAAACTAAGCATGGCTCTAGCAAAGTACGAAATCAAATTTGAACGCTCTTATAGATTCTTAATTTTCTACAGAGAGCTTATATTTTTAGAGACTCTACTTATAAGAATAATACAGTCAGGGGCCAGGGATATAGCCTAGCAGCACAAGGGCCTGCCTGGCAAGTGCAAGGTTCTGAGTTCAATTCCTTCAACAAAAAAAGAAAGAAAGAAAGAAAGAAAAATACATTCAGGCATGGTGATGTACAACTGTGATCCCAGCACTTGGGAGGCAGACAGGAGGATTATTTTGAGTTTGAGGCCAGCCTGGACTGCACAGCAAGACCCTGTCTCAAAAATTTAAAAAAAAAGAGAACATAAATTCCAATATAGTCTGACAAACTGCAGATTAAAAAAACAACAACAACAACAGAAAAACCATGAATATACAGCAGCGTCTGCCTGGCAAGTATGTCAAGAGTCCGATTCCCAGTACTCCCTTCCCACCACCAAAAAAAAGCTCATAGTCAGGTGTGCTTTGAAGGCTGAAACAAAAGGATCCCTACAAGCTCAAGGTCAATCCAAAATGCACCCTGAGTATAAGGCCA